ATGACCATAATGTTGGGAATCTTGGCTTCTACGGAAGCCCAGGCTGGAAGATATTTGGTGAGGAAGCCTTAAGACTAAGAAGCTGTAAGGAATCCTCAAGTTAGTCTGTACTGTCAGTACTCTCTAGTCCTGCAGAGTTAGGCTTTGTTGGGGACACAGACAACAGATGTGGCCCTGGCCTGGAGAGTTTGCAATCAAGCAGGGTGGCATGGGGATCTTGGATGTTGGGCACTTGCAGCCACCACTTTAAATCATCTCATTTAATTATGGTAGGTATTATCATTTAACTTTACAGATAAGGAACCAAGCTCAGGTGAGTAAATTCTTTTCCCCAGGTTCAGTACAGATAGTGGGTTGGGAGGGAGAACTTGAACTCAGATCTGGTCTGGTTCTGAAGCTTCTGTTCTTTCCAGATGTGAGACAAAGTAGCAAACGTAAGAAGCCACATGTGCGTGTTTCTACTTGCTAGCAGAATTTCACAAGCCCCCTATTCTGTGATGACGAACAGCTCTCAGAAAGACGCCTTGAAGACCAAACAGGATAGAGCACATGGCCCCCATGTCTCCTGCCTGAGTCACTATATTTCTCAAAAGCCAAACGGCCCCAGGCCTTGCATTTCCCTACACACAACATTTGATAGGGTTAGTCCTCTGTAATCTATAACCAGATGTGTTCTTGTACCCAAACTTTGACATGATTCTGCTTCAATGTAAGTTCTGAGCAATCTGGTGTGGTTTTGCATGGACTGAAGCTCATCCCGTCTGTGGCAGTGGGCTGAAATCCTGCGCGGGGGCAGTCTCCCAGGCCCGCTCCCGGGCTGCAGGCCTCAGTCTCTAGTCCTCAGTAAGACTTCAAATCAAAACAACTCTAATTTTTTAAAAGTTTGACTTTTTTCTTTAGTTGACACAGCATTCATACCATTACAGAAGCGGCAGCCGGGGGTGTGTGAGGAAGAGAGAGGGGACATGCGTGCAGTTCCTGTGCCCCGACCGCCATGGGGGGTTGAGAAGTCAGTGGGCCACACGCCCTGTGCTGGGAAGTGGCATTCCAGAGAAGTCTGAAGCCAGGAAGATGACTTATTTATTCCACAGTAGCTCAAACAAGAGGGGTCTCTCTAGGTGGGGTTGGGAGTCGAAATAAAAAATGTGCTGGAAATCGGGAAGGCAAAGAGCTTGGGAAGGGCATAGAAGTGAAGCCGTGTGGGCCACCTTCCCTCCGACCTCCGCACCCATCTGAGGGAAGGGCCGGAGCAGGAGAGGCTTTCCCTCTACGGGGACAGCCCAGGAGGCCTCTCATCTAGACCCCAAGGAGGCTGTTCAGGCCACAGTGTCCAAGGTGGGGCCCTTGCCCAGAAGCCCCTGACAGCTCTCAAGCCTCCAGGGGGGAAGGGCCTGGGCGCCAAGCGGTTCTCTCTTCCCCTTTCTGGAATCTTGGCCAGTTTCAATTTACATAACGCAGCTTAATCCACAGAAACAGGAGCCTCAAGGCAGGTTCTTTCTCTTTTTTTCCCCTCTCTAAGACACGGAAACCTTTATTTTCTCCCTGCACCACAAACCGGTGCTGTTAAATAATATTGGATAATTGCACCTGTCGCGCTCCCCATATTGTGCTGAGGAAAAATAATTGCTGGTTTTCTGCTTTGCCGTTTAGCTGTGACTCCGTCATTTGACTCGGAGCATGTCATTTTCTCCTATTTTAGACTGTGTACAGTCAACCCGTGTGAAAGGACTCACAGATAGCGGCCCTGCGTGTGTGAGTGGGCGCGGGCCTCATTCAGCAACGATTTCTAATTTATACAGCATTGAAAATCCACAGCTATAAATAAACAGTTCTGACTGGCTTTGCTGCCTACTCAAATGCTTTATTAAAGAAAAAAAAAAAAAGTCACCACCAACTGCATGAGAAAGGAAAACAAGACTGTCTGGAAGTGGATTCTGGCTGCTGCATCCAGGCCTGGGAGGGAGGATGCCCCTCCTTGGGAGGGGCCTGTGCTTGGCCCCCTCACAGTCCCCACCACTGGGTCCAACGTGTTTGGGGATCACAGTATATGAAACCGGCTTCCTGTTATGACAAGTATTGCAAGCAGGGAGGTGTGGAGGAGCTGAAAATAGCTTGAGATGTGTAGGATCCTTTCGGAGAGGGGGGTGGAGAATGGGGTTAATCTGTTGTTTAGGCAATAGGACAAGTCTTCTAACCAAATTCAAAATTGTTTTCACATGTGACACAGTGACACTGGCACACAAGCCTGGGTACAGGCCAGTCTGCCAGGCAGTGGTGGTGTTGCACCTCCTTCTGCCTGCATGAGGGATAGTGTCCACCAAGTTGGGGTCCTCTGACCACCTTCTTTTGTTCAGCTTTGCAAGATGTGAATGTATTTTTGGTTTTCTTTTTTTCCTCTCTCTTTTCTCTTTATTTTCTTTCTTTTTCTCTTCCTTCCTTCCTCCTTCCTTCCTTCCTTCCTTCCTTTCTTCCTTCTTTTTCCCCTTCCTCTCTTTTCTTCCTTATAAAGGCTTTGGGATGACCAGTTACTGCTTGGCTATATAATAAAAGAGGAAAGAAGAGAGCTCTGGAAACACCGATTTGTGTGATCCTGGGCCTGCCATTTCTCTAATCTGAACCCAGGGGGTGTGCTGGAGCCTGCTCATGCCAGCTCCTGAGGACCAAGTAGTTGTGTATATCTCTTCCCAATTCTGCATTCAGCAACATGTCGGTAGCCTCAAAAAGCCTCCCAAGTGTGTTTATACAATGGAAATGGGCAAATACTATCGATCAGGGGTTTAATTCTTTTTTGTAGAGAGTTGGTAAACATTTACCAGCACTGCACCATCAGAGACTCGGTGTGTTTATTTGTAAAATAAAAGCATAATACATTTCCTACTTACAAGAAAACTGTGAAGCTAAAATAGGTGAGAGTGATTATGAATTATAAGACACTGTACAAATATTATTGCTGGTTTCTCTATTTGTAATTTTCTAACTTTTCGGGGTCTAACACATCCCTACATAGGCATCACACACTATGCACTCTGTAATGAATGTTAAGTCAGTATTCATTACAGGTGTCTAGTTGCTTATCCTATGTAAACTACAGCCCCACTGAGCATGTACTTGTGTGCTTGGGTTTGTACTCAATGAACATGGCCCTGAGATAGTTCTAGTGTAGGAGGCCTGCTGCAGTCAGGGTTTAATTTGATCCTAAGGACAGTAAAGCCACAAATAGAAATCTGCAGGCTCTCCCTAGCCAAGAGCTTACTATGACTATGAGAACTATGCAACCCGAGTCATCTTTGGGGTGTGGAAAACTTAGGTGATCCCCTGTGGGCTTCCCATTCGGGGAATTTCCATCATGACAACTGTTTCTGGGTTCCTGCTGAGACCAGGTGCTCTGAGCAGTTAAGAGGCAGCAGCAGGTGCAGGGCAAGAGGTGGTCTTGCCAGCTCTACCCGGGAAAGACTTGAGGCTCATATAAATAGAATAGTGGAAAAGGAGTAGGGCTTGAGCATTTTTCAGCACCTTCCCTGGCCTTCCCGTTGTCTTCCCTATTTTTTTTTTCAAGACAGAGTCTCACTTTGTAGCCCTTGGTAGAGTGCTGTGGCATCAGAGCTCATAGCAACCTCAAATTCTTCTTCTTAAGTGATCCTCTTGCCTCAGCCTCCTGAGTAGCTGGGACTATAGATGCCTGCCACAATGCCCAGCTATTTTCTAGAGAGTGGGTCTTGCTCTTGCTCAAGTTGGTCTTGAACTCTTGAGCTCAAGCAATCCATCTGCCTTGACCTCCCAGAGTACTAAGATCACAGACGTGAGACACTGTTCTCTGCCTCTGCCTTCCCTATTGAGATACCTGCCCTCTTTTCCAATCCTTCAAGATTGCTCTTAGTGTCCTTTTTTGCCAAATTTCTCCTGCATGGTGTTAGGTTGGGAAGCTCAGGTACAATTTACTCCAGTGTCCACACTCCGGCCCATGTGAGCCTGGTGAACACATGAATAGAGCCAAATACATTTACCCACCATTAAATATTTGTCATTAGTGTTTTCTTTTTAATGTGCCTACAATTAAAAGCCAGGAAAAAAACTACTAGGAAAATCAAAACAAGGTTTAGAAATCCTTATTTATCACCTGACAATCAGTTTTGTTAAACCACACACTCCCCAAAGTGCTCTGTACCCATGCAATCTCAGCAGCCTCGATAATCACTTTACTTCTCAACCAGAGCCTTCTCCAAGTAAAAGTCCAACATGTATTTGACAAATTAATCGATATTGGAATGGAAGAGTTTGGCACGGTCACTATGTTCAATGTTTAGACCTGCTCAAATGTTTGCTCCCAAGAGGGACAGATTTCCCAATATTTTTTATAACTTACTTTTTAATCACCCCAAATAATTTCCAGGTAGACAGATGAATTCAGTAGCAGCCATTTCCCTATATTTCTAGCTTGACGAATAAGAATGAATGAGTAATCCACATAATAACTAGCTTACTAAAGTGTTTTTTTTTTTTTTTTTAAGAGAAGTTGAAATTATGAACAATGGCCTAGGACTGGGAGTTAGGAAATCTAAGAGACAGAAGCATTGTCTCGGCTTTGACCCCAACTAACTCTTTTGCTTCATGCAGGTAATTTCTCCTTTAGGTCCTCAGCATCCTCCTCTATAAATTGAAGCGTCTGAAGGACCCTAAGTTCTTTTGTCTCTAAATATCCTGGACCACCAAGTTTACATGAGTTTCTTTAGCTTTTGTTCAGATTTTAACCAGAGACCATCCTCCATCAAGGTGAGACAAATTCTGAGACAGCAGGAGTAGTTTTAGGTTTGTGCAGTTAACCTTTTACAACCCCAACAGTGCTCAAATGAAGCTATTTTCATAACACTCTTATTAAACGTAAATACCACTCCCTGTCTTTTCTACCTCTACCACCTCCCTCATTCTAGAAAAAAAGAAAAAAAGATGAGAAAAAGCTTTCATGTTTTCTTCCTTCTTAGTTCTTGGAAAACAGCATGCGATCATTTCCTCTTTTTCTGTGGCTGCATCATGTCACCTGTACAAACAAGAGCAGAGACAGACCTCAGGCTTCAGTGGTTTCCTATTGGGTATTTTCGGGTAGCTAGAGATGACTCTTATTTGGGACAGTGGAAAGTCAAGCACACTTTCCCCAAGGTGAGAAGATGTACTTTGAGGAGTTTTGAAAAACATTTGCCCCTACGGCACAGACAAGGAACAATCCTGCCGGCCTCCTTTCATGCTCAGCTCCCAGCTAGCCAGGTACCCAGACATGCTGCTTGCCTTATGTAGCTCTGCAGATTGAATATGAGGCATCTGGCTGTCACTCTGGGCAAGTGTCTGCAGGCTGCACTCCATCCATCAGCAAACATTGAGACTTTGCAGATGGAGAGGAAGAGAGCGTATCAAATTAGAGAGGAAACAGAAGAGTGAGTGTTCACCTAATTGGGGTCATTCTATGACCCCTCACCAAATCAATTTATCAGCCTGGGTGGAAAAGTACTGGCATATGGATTAGTTTTTAGTAAGCTCATTAGAGGGGCATTATTCATTGAAATTATAGCATTCCATCTCTAGTATGCCTTCTGTTGAGCCAACATATTGGTACCTCCATATTTAATGATCATAAATCTTTGTGTAAGCTCTGAAATTGATAAAATCTCATTAGCTCATTTTCCTTTATGCTTATTGCCAAATACTATCAATCCTACTTTGAAAATTTTTCTCAACTCAGTGTCTTCTCCCTTCCAGAAGGGAGAGCTTTGGTAATTCTGGGTTTGGTATTACCACAGTCTACTCACACACCTACTTCTACATCTCACCCTTCAAAGCCTGCCACCTCCGTCAATTCAATGCCTAACAGTAAATATTAAATAGCCTCTACTGATTTCATTTTTCTGGAATTCCCCTTTTCTGAGATCATAGTGACTGGTGACTTGAAGTCCCACTAGCAGCCCCTTACCATGCTGATTTCCTAGGACAACTATCCCTTGCTCATGTGTCCGCATGGCTGTCCTTGTATTGCTCTCTCTCCACAATTTTAAGATTAGACCTCTCCCTTCTTCTAGTCCTCATCAATCTGGTCTGCCCCAACCCGTGCAGTGAAGGCTTACTGCTCACCCACCGGTTTTACAGGTGTCAGCTCTTTTCATGGATGTGTCCATTTACTTTCCATTTCTCATGAGAACCCTCCCCTTCCTGGTTAGGTCTTCTCTAAGTCAGGTGCATAAGCACGATCACAGTGCCTTCTCTTTTCTGCAGTGTCTATTTTAGGCCTTTCATGAATTCCTTCTCAACTAAGTAACCAGTTAATTTTCTCATATCCAAGAGTGTGGTCAGTATATGAGGTCCGACAATTAAGTTTGCGAACTCATTCTAGAAGTACTACATTCCTCATTTCTGGGTATCACTACAGCCACCTTCTCAGTACTCCCCTCGGCCATCTGGTAAACATAGTGATCTTCAGTGATGAGGTATGTAGCACTTTCCCTCAGACGAGTTCACAAACTTGTACAATGACAGCTCTGATAGCCATTCCAGAAATAGAGCTCTAAAAGTGCCTTGAAGAGTGGACTACATCCTGGTGTCAGTGCCTAACTTCCCAAGGGGAGTACTTCAAAGGTGACCATAGTGACGTTCTGCACTGAGGTGTGTAGCACTTTTTTCTAGGATGAGTTCATGAACCTGATTGTTGGAACTTGTAAACTTCTCAAATTTGTGCCCCCTGCCATCAGTCTAAAACTTCCTTTATCCATAGTGTTTTCCAACACCCAGGCCCTCGAGTCTAACTGTAGTCATAACTCCTTCAACCCCAAGTGCCAAGGCTCGGAGAGAAGCATCCCAGGAGCAGCAGTGGTGTTGGGAAGTTGTGTTGAGGCAGGAGAGCAGGCAGCTTCTTCAGCTGGGTCAGAATCTCCCATCCAAGACCCAGTAGCTAGGTGCCACAGTAAGGAATTCCCACACACCTGCCAGTGTGCTAGAGAAGGCAGTGGCCCTAAATGGGTCCCTGTGAGTACCTCCCACAGTCATTTTACTCTACATAGTATGCCGTTTTATTCACACCTGGTATGAATATCTCATAAATCATGTTTTTACTTCTAGTAGGTGGGAACAAAGGCTGGATTCTTAATCTTGAAATGTCATAGAGCTGAGCTATTTCTAACCATCTTTTGACTCTTCACAATTTCTCTCTGACTGTGTTTCCTTAGTGCACAGCTGAAGAGAAGGGGACCATTGACTTAGTAACAGACCATGTATCTTACCCAAAAAAAATCCACACAATAATTTTTAAACTCTGATTGGTAAATAATGTTGTTTGTTGTAATTGTTTTCTTGATCAGGGAGAGTTTTTCCCAGTGGAACGTTCCTAGTTGGCAGCTAGGGAGTTGGGTCCACCAGACCTGACTTGTTTTAGTCCTTTCTTTATTCTCTCTGTCAGATAATACTGAAGGCTAGAGATATTTTAGGCCAAGCATTTAATGTTCATCTGTGCAAGATCCAAATAGTTTCTACTAGTAAGGCAAAGAAACCATTGTTTCAATCAACATCACTATGGATGCCATATATAATTATATACCTTCTTATTCCTAGTTAAAACACAGGATAAATTAAGACATAATGCTCCCAAAGGTTTATATCTATGCATCTATAATCACAAAAGCTACTGCTAGCCTTTGAGTTGAAAATTTAGAGAACATTTATCTAGTTTCAGTGGACTGCTTTGAAGAAGGGCAAGAATGCAGATGGTTGGGGGGACATGAGGTGTTAGAGGAATGAACTTTGAGCATTGAAGAGCATTAAGTCCACATTGCAGAAGTCCAGAGAGGTGATGAAGCTGAGGGCTGGCTGGGGAAATTCTGGCAGGGAAAGAGGCAAAAAAAAGAGGAAGAAAGAATAATGCAGAGTGGATTCCCTTTGAGCTTATGGAGACAAAGTTAGGACAGAAAAAGCCAAAAGGAGACATATTTTTGTTATTAACTAAATGCTTCTCCAGTGGAGACCAGGCTTTAGAAGAACGCATGGAGTCAGCTCATGATAAAATTTTCTTGTAATGAAATGATCAGGGATAATATGGAAGAGAGACCTTACCATAATTTCTTTATGGATAAAACCAAAGAGGTAGACTAGGGGCCTCTAGGCAGCTTTCAAAAATCGAATCACCTTTAAAAAAACCTAGTCTGTGGCAAATAACGAAGGGAAGGTTTTTAATGACATTCTATCCAAGACACCATCACAAAGGTACTTGGCTAGACTGGAATTTTCAGCTTAAAAACTGTCCTTAGGAGCAGAAGGATCTATGGTCTTGGGCCCTGACAAATGATAGCCTGACTGCTGGCACCTGGCCCTCAGGAACTCTCTAGTCCTGAAGTCAAGAAGGAGGTGATGGGCCTGGGTAAACCCATGTCTCTGCAGCCCTCTCTGCTGTTTGGGCCTGGAGGTGCTAGGCCCTCTCTGGGCCTGATATTGACTATGGCTTGGTTTTCTCTTCCTGAGGGACGTGTGTCAGAGCATCAGCATCCTTGTGTCCTATCAACCAAGGGGGTGAGAGGGGAAACAAAAATTTAGCACATAAGTGGCAGAGAAGGGGGCCCCTGATGGGATGTCCTGCTGGATCCCCCAACCAGGGTGGAAAAGAATTCACCTGGGGCATTCCTATAAATTCAGAGATGGTGTGCCAAGCTTACAATGATGTGTTAGAACTACTCCCTGCTGCCTATTTCTACCATTATTTAAAGCCAATGTCCCATCTAACTCTGTCTAAAAAGGTAGAAGTGGAATCTTTCTGGGTGGGTGACTGGTCCCAATAACTGACTCCATGTTTAACCCTCTGTTCCATGACACATAAAGGCAGCATAGGGCAGGGATTTTGCCAATACCAGATCAGACGGGGTGTCCTGTAGAACCTCTTGAGAGCTATTTGAGCCTCAGTATCTTCTTGGAGGACCTTTCTGAGGGCCATGACAGCATCTGCCTCTCCCATGTTCAAAGTCACTTGCCTACAACTTCATGCCCTAGAAGAGGGTTGTCACCTACTTTTCAAGTTCAATGTTCAAGTGAGCCTAGGAACATTTCTTATTACTGTCCTTCTGGCTGTCCTCTTCATATTTACCCACCAACAGGAAAGGAGGAGAAAAGTGAGTAGACATTCAGCAACTGTGGCCCTGATCACCAACACCCTTCGCAGTCCAGCAGCTGATTTGGGAGAATGTCACACTGCACAGTGCACTTATGGGTATAGATGAGCTTGTCCTCACACCAGCAGCCTCAGTATCTCTGGGGCACACGTTAGAAGGGCAGAATCCCAGATCCACTGAACAAGAATCTACATTTTAATGAGAGCCCCAGGTTCCCCAAGATTCTCGTTTAACAAAATCCAGAGGCCTATACAGATTTTGGAAGCATTGCTCTGTGCCAGTGGCTATTAACCCCGGCTGCAAATTTAAACCACTGGGAGCTTTAAAAAGGCCCCATGTCAAGTCACAGTATCCAGAGACAAGTATTTAATTGGTGTGGGGGTGGGTCTGGGAATCCACACTTTTGAAACTCCCCCAGTGTTTCTATGATGGGAGCCCATGGTGGAGGACTACTGCTGGAAAGACATCTGGCACATTTAATGGAGCTTAACTGATATTCCTCTTCATATTCTTGACTAGTTATTGCTTGGATGGTGACTTTCAGCTGGACCACACTGTGTCTCAGGAGTTCAGAAGCAGAGATTCTAACACATTCTAACACATTCTGGCCTTGACTAACCTGACCTCCTATTTCATCATAAGCTCCTGAGGGTGTCATCAACTCTCTTAATTTGCACACATAGTCACAACAGTCTCTGTCACTCACATGAACATTTACATACGCATGATATTGATGAGCGTCCAATGTTGATGCTGCCTTATTTGCGCGTTGGGACCTAGTTGTAAAAAATGGGATATAGTACTGAAGCAATGAGGCTTACAGGAAGAGCTCTCTGCTGAAAATAGTGAATTCAATAATAACAAATACAGTGAAAATTTTATTTTTTAATTCAATGGATGTTTAAGATTTGCTGTAGAGTAACAGTTTAAAAATTAACTTAATATATCATTGAACTCTGTACCATTGATTTTAAAAGGTATCATCCTCTGAGCTCTAAGTACTCAAGTTTTTCTCTATACTTCTTGTAATTGCCAAATTTCTAATAGCTTAGTTTCTTTCTTTCCTTTTTTTTTTCTAATATAGATCTCGGGGAATGGGATCAGAAATCTTCACCCAGAACTTCAAGGAGCCAAAACTAGTTAGAATTAGATGTCAACACATATGAAATGTCAACACATTTTTTTTTTCTGGATAATTTCCTGTAATTTGGAATCCTGGTATGGGGAGTAATTTTTAATATTCCATTTTGTAAGTGTTTGCTTTCAAAAAGAATTTTGCCTTTGAGACTTCCTTAACCAGTCAAATTCTCCAGGAGGAGAAAGCACGTGACAAATCCAAGTTACATGCTTATTTCTCCAGAGTCTCAGCTTCCTCTCAGAAATACACACTCTGGTACTGAACCTTCTGAAATTGTCAGGTTTTTTGCATATGCGGACTTATGTTTTCACACCAGTTCATAGATTGGGCGGAAGATGGCACTTCTGCTGTCTCTATTTTGATAGAGGCAGAATGGTATGTGGGCGAGTGATGTGTGGGGCTGGGTGGAACTCCTTGCCTTCCTTCCATACAAAATCAGGGTAGAGTTCCTGTACTTCTTCTTGGAGAAAGAAAAATTCACGGGTATTTTGCAACCTGGCTTCTGGTAGTTACTTTTTTGACAACAAAAAAATATTCTGGGGAAAGGATGGGGAGAGAGGAAGTGGGGAGAGAATAAAGCCTTCCATTTTAAAATCAACTGAAGTTATATGATTTTTTTTTTTTTCTGATGAAGAAGCAACATCATCTACCCACCTATAATTAGAAAGCTTAGCTTACTGACATATTCTCATTGCCCAAGACTCTGAATGAGAACTCCAATCTCAAATATAGGATGTGATTTTTGTCTGGTAGATGCTTTACTAAAGGTTGAAAAGCAGCCTAACGGAGGCGGCATGGGAACTCATCAAGGATGCTCTGTTGAGGTTGGAAGAGCTAAGAGGGTCCTCTGGACTCATTCCAAAAGGCAACCTTGGCATTTTAACAGCTTATGTCCCTGGAGCCCTCATTTGGGTAGGACATGCGGGAAAGACCTCAATCATCTTTCTTTATACTAGGGATGGCAATACCTCGTTCTCTGGGTCTCTAAGTTTTTTTAACAAGATTATTCTTAGCTTCAAACTTAAATGAGGTATTTGTTGTTGGGGGGGGGGATGTAATTGAATAGGATCTTTTGAAAAAGTGCCAACTTCTCCCAGGTTTTCCCTTGCCTGCTTTGTTAGAACCTGAGTCCTTTGGATAAAAGTATTAAGTATCATTGCCTTCTGCTTTGGACTAACTTTTCTTTCTGTGTCCAGGAGGAATGTAGAAAGGGCAAAGATGAAATGCATTTGTAATAAGACTTGAGAAATACACTGACCCCATTTCCAGTGATTGAGCTTCTCTCCAAGTAGATACAGGTTGGCAGTAAAGATGTAGCTGAGAAAGAAGAAGGTTGCCAGACCCAGAGGGCTGAGTTTTTCGAACACAGGATATACCCAGGTACCCGTCTTAGTGTGGTGCCACAGGACCCTGCAGGAAAAAAAGTCACAGTGATTAGGGCAGGAAGAAAAAAACAAGACATTTTCTCATCAGAATCAGCAAGATACTGGAGCCCAGGCAGGTGAGAAAAAGCCATCAGGGACATTTGCCAACAGCTGAGTTATTCCCACAAACCTATAAAATGAGTTTTTCGGGTAAGCCGACCTGATTCAGTAAGACATGTTGCTTCATGGGATTGGCCAGGCTGGCCTGTTTTACCTAATCTATTCAAATTCAACATTGGTGAAAAAAATGTAGGAGAACATAAAACATATCATTGGCCAAAAGCAGTATGTAAGAACATGAATTGTCACTTCCCCTTGGAGGTAAGGCACAGCGAGACTTTGAACCTGCTAAGATGGCATCCAACTGCTGGCTCTCAGCCAGAGAAGTGGGGTTTGATTTTTCTTTGTACCTGAGGGTCAGGTGCAGCTTTCCATTAGCTCCCCAAATCTGCTGGGACAGAAGGGGCAGAGATGAAGCATTATTGGTCTAATCCAATAGGGCAGGGATTAATTATTGGCCTTGATTTTCTTTCATGCATAAAGCCATGAAAAGAATGTTAAGCAGGAATGGATAGGTTTATAGGAAGGCTCAGATCTTGCTTACGGCAGGGAGGGGGAGCAGACTGTAAGTCACTTCTGTAAGCCAAGAGAAGAAAAAGAAATGCTAGGAGAGGAGGCAAGTTGTCCAAGTGAAGCCTAAAAATGCAGTTTTCTGGAAACTAACTGCACTGGAAGGTGCCAATGTCTGAAATAACTTTTAAAAATTAAATGTGGGGAAGATAATGCATCAGCTACAGTTCATAATTCGTTAAAAGCACAGAATCTGGAACCAGACTTCTGTGCTTCAAATCCTAGCTCTGCCACCTATTAGCTTTCTTACCTTCAGCAAATGTATTCAATATTTCTGTCCCCCTCCCCTCATGGGTAAGGTGGGGACCCAAACAGCATGCACCTTCTAAGGCTGTTGTAAAGATTAAGGAAGATACCATGTGTAAACTACACAAAACAGTGCCTGCCACATGGTAATTATTTGACAAGAGTTCAAAAGCTTCTCTCTCTACTGAGGAAAGGTACATGGGAATGTTCTTAGAAAACCTTCTTTGAAGCTGGTGATCTCTTGTAACAATTAGGATAGGTTAGGTTATGCTTCAGAAACAGGATTTAAACATGGATGTCCCAGGTTGTCAAAGGAATTCACATGGAGAAATGAAATTCTATGCTTAATTAAACTTTCAGAAACTCAAGTGTGATCTCTGTTATTTCAAATGCTTTAAGTTTGTTAAATGTCTTGTGGAAGAGATAAAGACTAATTTCCAGGCCCAGGAGTAGGATGGGGTGAGGGAGGCACGTTGGCTGTACAATTTAAGGTGACATCTCTGGACAGCAAAGGACACAATCAACAGGATGAAAAGGCAACCCATGGAATGGGAAACAGTATTTGTTAACATATATCAAATAAAAGGTTAATATCCAGAGTACATTACAAAATCTCCTATAAATCAACAAGAAAAACAAAACCCAAACAACCCAATTAAAAATGGGCTAAAACATGGATGAACATTCTATAGACAAGATGTATAAATGGTTAAGAAATACATAAAAGGATGTTCAACATCACTAACAACTAGAGAAATGAAAATCAAAACCACAATAAAATATTGCCTCCTACCCCATTATAAGAGTCACTTGAAAAAAAAAAAACCCAGAAAACAAGGGTTAGCAAGAATATGGAGACATTGGAACCCTGTGCACTTTTGGTGGGAATGTATAATAGTGCATCTGCTGTGGAAAACTGTAGGGCAGTTCCTCAAAAAACTAAAATAGAATTCCATATGATCCAGCAATTCCACTTCTGGGTACATACCCAAAAAGAATGGAGAAGAGGGACTCAAAGAGATATCTGCACACTCATGTTTATAGCAGCATTATTTATACTAGCCAAAAGGTAGAAGCAACCAGAATGTCCATTGATGGATGCATAGATAAATAAAATGCAGCATATGCATACACATTACAAAGAAATAGAATTCAGAGTCATGCTACATGAATCAATCTTGAAGACATTATGCGAAGTTAAATAAGCCAATAAAAAGGACACATGTTATATGATTCTACTTATATGAGGAATCTTGAGTATCAAATATATAAAGACAGAAAACAGAATGGTAGCTGTTGAGTGTTGGGTGTGGTGGAAATATTGAGTGCTGTGCTTGGGATAGGGTTTGTTTGTCCCCAGCATGTTGAAATTTGATGCCTGCTGCAGCTGTGTTGGGAGGTGAAGCCTTGTGGAAGGAGTTCAAGTTATGAGGCTAAATCCCTCATCAGCAGTTTGGTGGTATTCTTATGGCAGTGAGTTCTCTCGGAATTGGAATTAATCCTTTGAGAGTGGGTTGTTGTAAATCCAGGACAGCCTCCCACCCCCAGGTTTCTCCCTCTTTGCATGTGTCAGCTTCCCCCTTTGACCTTCTTCACTACAATATGAGGCAGCATGAGAGTCCTGGCCAGAGCCAGTGCCGTGCCCTTGAACTTCTCAGCCTGTAGAACCATGAGCTACATAAACTTCTTTATAAATTACCCAGTCTCAGGTATTCTTTCATAACAACACAAAATGGATTGAGACAGGGAGTTAGTGTTTAATGGGCACAGAGTTTCTGTTTGGGAAGATGAAAAAGTTCTGGCAATCAGGCAGATTGCCTGATTGCCTGTGGCTCGGTGGGTAGGGTGCCAGCCACATATACCAGGCATATCAGGTTTGAACCCAGCCCTGGCCAAACTGCAACAACAATGAAAAATAGCCAGGCATTGTGGTGAGCACCTGTAGTCCCAGCTACTCGGGAGGCTGAGGCAAGAGAATTGCCTAAGCCCAGGAGTTGGAGGTTGCTATGAGCTGTGACACCACAGCACTCTACGCGGGGTGATAAAGTGAGACGCCACAATCATGAGAATGCACTTACTGCCACTGAACTTACACATGATTAAAATGATAAATTTTACATTATGTGTATTTTACCATAACGTAAAAGAATCTAAGGAGGTCCTAATCACAGGATTATATGAATATATGTTGGCTCTTGGTCCCTAGTCCCTGCCTGTTGCTGCCACACTGCTCTCCCAAACCTGTCTTGATGCCCCTCCCAGAGTACCAATGAGGTGACTGTAAAACACAATAATTATCATTATTACTATGATAATATTGGAATCCTTCAGGTCATGCATCTCATGGATGCACTCTATAGGGATGGACACAGTGCCCACAGTGCCTTTACAGGTGGCCCTCATGACAGAGGAGGCATAAAGGGCAGAAAATAATTTCTCCAAGTAGCTAAGGGTAGTGATACAGGGTCAGCAAGGAGATCTGAACACACTCCAAACTAGTTACAATACTTAGTTCACTTTGTTTACTTTATACATTTGAAATTGGGCCTTCCTAATTCCCCATGCACATTTATGTAAAACAGTCTGCAAATAAGGACATGCCCCTAGAGGTCTGGAAAGTTTCTGTTTACTTCATTTTTGTTTCTTTCAGCATAAGGCTCATAAAGAAAAGTTCCCAAGGTAAGTTAACAAATTATATATATTTGCAGAGAAAGCACAAAGAAAGTTATGGATGTGGCAAATGATGGTGGAAAAAGTAAAGAAGATATAAACAGAGCATGAGGCAAGAGGCTAGTAATTTAATGAAGGGTTCTCAGCAGAGAGATGGGAGAGAAGAGAGCCACAATATCAGATGCTATGTGACTTCTTTATGGCTTGCCTGGAGAGAGAGAGAGAGAGAGAGAAAGAGAAAATAAAAGAAAGAGAGAAGGGAGGCAGGAAGGAACTAAGGAGAGGGGTTGGCAGGGAGTGAAGGAGGCAGACAGGGACAGTGGGATGGAGAAGGGTGGGCAGTTTGCACTCAACATGACCTCCATCTTCATCAACTGTCAGTTCTCCACTCACTCTTGCTCCCATACAGGATCCCATAAAATCATATCTACAATGAACTTCCATCTCTCCAGTGCAGACTCCTTCATCTCATCTGGGTTTCTGTAATTATCTTCCCCCTGTACTTTCTTGCTCCTTTCTTAACCCACCCTCCATACTGCCAGCCACCAACCCCCCAATCTTTTCAAATTAATCTCTGTCCCTAGCACTCCTCTGCTTCCAGTGGATCACCACTGTTTAGGAAATTGCCTCAACTGCTCACCCCACTGCTCTGCCCTGCTGTGCTCACCCATCCATCGCAGATCTGTAGTCTATTCATATTGGATGCCTCTGTTTCTGGAACAAACCAAACTCTGCAGTTTCTGGGTCTTCACCCCCATTGTTGTCTCTGGTTGGAACACCTCTGATCTTTTGGTTTCTGGAACATCCTCCTCTTTGCTCTGTTCCCAGATGAATCTTGATTTTTTTTTTTTTTTTGAGACAGAGTCTCACTTTATTGCCTTTGGTAGAGTGCCATGGCATCACACAGCAGCTCATAGCAACCTCCAACTCTTGGGCTTAGGCAATTCTTTTGCCTCAGCCTCCCGAGTAGCTGGGACTACAGGCACCCACCACAACACCGGGCTACTTTTTTGTTGCAGTTTGGCTGGGGCCGGGTTTGAACCTGCCACCCTGGATATATGAGGCCAGTGCCCTACTCACTGAGCCACAGGCACCGACCCGGATGAATCTTACTCATGCTTCAAATCCATTTTCTAGAAAAGGTTTCCTAAAGATCTTTCTCCAGCCCCATTTAGTTAGGTGTTCATTGTCCTCTGCCCTGGAGCATGCCTTGGTTACTTATCTAATTGTTTTTCTCATTAGCCTGGAAGCTTTGCAAGGGCAGGGGCTGTGTCTATCAATGCACATTAGTTTCCCAAGTGCTCAGAACACAATCAATTCTTTATATTTTAAGGTGAATGGGGTGGCTCTGTAGGACAATGCTATAGCTCTCAGCTGTCTGACCCTCCAGGACCACCACAGCTGCTCTTTCCTCTCTTTTTCCACCAATCTCGTACCACC